TAAGGGGGCCACCATCCTTCTCCGAGTTATCCAAAATATCATTGAAATCGCCCGTAAGAAGCCACGGTAACTCTCGGTCTTTTCCAATGCGTGAGACATCAGTCCAAAAGGCTGCTCTGTTTTCAACCACTGGTGCTCCATAAATAAAAGATATATAAGATGATTGACCTTTGAAAGCTACCTTAGCGTCGATGATATTTGCTGAGGACTCTAGTATCTCCAGCTTGACGTTGTCTGACCATAGAAGAGCCAACCCCCCGCTGAGCCCTTGTGGAGGTATCGAGAAAAATTGGGAATAATGGAGATCATGAAGCTTGTCTTGAATATACTCATCACTGTTTTTTGTCTCCATGAGGAAAATAATGTCTGGGAGAATAGTTTTCCTAATCTCCTTGAGACGACGAATTGTAAAGGGGTTCCCCAACCCTTGACAATTCCATCTCATAAGAGCTAAGGAAGCCTTCGAGGCGGGGGCCGAAAATCCGATCCCACCGTCTGCTTTGGAACTGGAGGTGGGATGTTGTTGCTAGTGCCCGCGTTGCTTGTACCCACCTTATTCCAAGGTAAAGATCTTCCTTTTTCCGTGCATATCCTCTTCCGTGGTGGATGTGGGTTACATGATCTTTTTTAAATTTATACCGTGCATAGGGCTCCTCGCAATCCTCTTAGTTGCAGGGGTTCTTCTCTTAGGTGCCTTTGAAGAAGTTGCAGTTCATTTTTTGGAGGTTTCCCCTGGCTCTAGATTCAAGGCTGCCCTTGTCTTTTCCTTGCTTCCCAAGGAAGCAATGCCTCCTAGTCTCTGTGAAGCCGGCGCTTTAGTTTGTTCTATCAGGGGTTCCTCAATGATCGCAGCCTCGTATACAATGTCTTCCACCACTGAGAGACTACCATGTATCTCCGTTCCTTCACTCCTAATAGCAACCTCATGTAATCTACTTTCTCCACTCCAAGATGTGCGTTTGGAAATCTGGTTTCTTAAATCTGGTTCTGTTTGTCTCAGTAAGGCAGAGCGCCTCTCTCTGGATTTTGTGGATTCCGTCGGCGTAAGTGGGTCCCCCTGGGGAGCCATTCTTTCTCTTGGGGGCATAGGTGGAGGGGTGTGAGAGGATAGTGATCCGTTTTGGCGCTGCTGTGCTCTCTCTCTTAGATGGCCAGTGGAACCATCACCCTCTCCTGTGATCAGTTCTTTGCTGTTCCTTTGCGGGTGGGAGGTGGAGACCCTTGAGTGATTAGCTTCTTGTCTATTATGTGAGTCCAACCTCCTCCGAGGCAAGTACTGAGCAGTCTCACTTCGATCGTTGTAAGGTCTAGATGCCTCAGATCGATTAGAGAGGTATGAGGGCGGTCTGCGGGCATATTCCATAGAACCTCTATACGCAGAGGAGTTGTTAACTCGCCGTTGATCAGAATTGCGGTCGTCCCTGGTTGGAAGGTCCCTCTGAACCGGAGGAATGTACCCTCTTTTATCATCATGACGTCTTTTTTCCGGCCTCTATACGCTCCAAAGCTATAGCTTGCGTGATACCCAATTTTATTTCTTTTGCAGGTGGATCGCCAGGAGTTCTTAGCGGGTATTCTTCCTCTTCGTGTGATAAGGAGAAGCAGGTAAAGCAGTGCTTCTCAATCTTTACATACTCGAATTCTATTTCGGTAGTTCAATTTCCGACTTCATTTCCAAGGGGAGTAGACCGTTGATATCAACTCTAACACGGGCCTCCTTTACATCTCGAAAAGAGACGTGGCCAAGGGTGTTCCATGTATACGGACCCAGAAGGTGATGATTGAAGGGAATGTGGGTGATATAACGGGTTCCCACCTCTGTAGCAGAATCATCCACCTCTTGTGGTGGTAAGGGCCGTTTGCTAGGACTGAAAGTAAATCTCTTTCAGATTCAAACCTGAACTGAAACATCTCAGGTCCAAGGTCTCTTCCTTCTACTCTCCTTTCAAGGTTCCAGATCTTAGGCAGAACATCAATAATTGCTCTTGGACGTTGGAAGCGAGGATTTGTGACCCTTCCTATGAGAGTGAGGCGGTTTTCAGCAATTAGTGCATCGTTGTCGCTGGCCTGAATCTTGATAGGAGATTTCTTCCGAGAGGGGTTAGGTTTTGCTACCCATTTTTCCTTTTCGGATTTTGAGTACCTGTGAGCCATAGCGTAGTATCTCAAGCAGGTGGTATCTTAAAATAACGGCAACAAAAACGCAGGGGGACACTCTATAAACAGAGCATAGTAGATTCTGATGAAGAATAATCTGGAGCGGTGGTAACAAAAAAGACTCTATGAACAGAGTATAACTTAGTGGTGCAGAAGAACTAAGATTTCTTCATTGTAGGAGCTCCGAGCTGGGGTAGGGTGGAGCTTTGGCGACGGCGTCGCTGACCCTCCGACAGGCAGTCGGGGGTAGAACCCGGGATTTGCAGTCCAAAGGCGGTTTTTTAAAAAAAAAATTACTTGAAAAGGTAAAAAACCAGATAAGGAAGGAAAACCGGGTAGGAGGAAACTGTGGGGGGTTGACCGAACGGGGAAAAACCAGACAGTTGAGACTGTCTAGGGAACAGTGCCTGGGAGAGAGAAAAGTTTTTGTAAGGCTGTAAGCTTTAGCAACTTTATTTGTCCCACAGTTTACAGTCACTTAATCTTAGCCAAGGTATTCTTCGATAAAGAAACATTTGATACTTAATTTTTTTTATTCTTTTTTTTTAAAAGCGTAATTCTCTAAAATAGCCATCTTTTAAGTTTTTATCTCAAAAATAGACCTCAAAAACTAAAATGACCCAAACAACACTTTTTATTTTGAAAGTATTAAGTTTTCTTAAATTTTTTTTTAAATTCTAAACTCTTTCCCCAAAACTCCACTCTTAAACAAAAAAATCTAGGATTAGTTAACCCAAGGAGTATAAATGTATCTTAATAAAAACATTTAAGTGCTATTTTGGTCAATTAAATTTTAATTGTTAAGGTCTATACTAGGTGATTTTCCCGTGCTCATGCACGGGCATGTATATTTATAAAATAAATATACAATAATAAATGATTGATATTTACTTTAATTTTTAAATTAATTTATATTTTGTATGTCTAATTTATATTATAATATTATATTACTTTAATTATATATATAATTTTAGATATGTTATATTTAGTCTGTTTTATTGTTTTTACGGTCGATTTAGTTATCATTTAGATATATTGGATTCTATATATTTCTCTGAATTCAAAAATTATCTTTTATATTTTTAAATATTAAATTTTTCATTAATTGTCTTATTTGCATTTATGCTGGTTGTTATCTTAGAAATATAAGTATATTTAGTAAGATTATATATAACTTAAGATTTTTTGTGCTTAGAAGGAAAAAAAAATAAAAACTAAAGTTTCTGATTCTAAATTACATACATAAGTAACTAATGAATTTTTAGAAGATTTTGAACACATATCAATATTTACAATAGTTAAAATATTTTATAAATTCTAAATAAATTTATGCTTTAGATTGTTTGGATGGTAAACTGAAATTTATTTTAAATAATTTTAAAAATAAGGTTTCTGATTTGCTTAAGTATTTGACTATGGTTATATTAAGTTTCACAAACATAAAAACAAAAAAATAAAAATTAAAAGATTATTAAGAAAACAAATAATTTTAACTATTAAAATATAATACATCTACCTCGTTAAATTATATAGTGTTATGGTATTTTAAAATAATTATAGTTATTTTCTGTTTTTATGTTTGTGAAACTTAATATAACCATAATCAAAATACTTAAGTAAATCAGAATCTTTATTCTTAGAACAGATAATTTTAACTATTAAAATATAAATATATATCTACCTCGTTAAATTATATAGTGTTATGATATTTTAAAATAATTGTAGTTACTTGATCAAAAGATGTTTATCATTAAGTTTATTTTTAGTTTTATTTTTAGTATCTCTTAAAATAGTCAGTAAAAAGTGATTGTTTTTGAGAAATTATACTATATAAGTAAAATAGAATTTATATTTTTACTGTAATTGTAAGATATTATAGTCAAATAAATATACTAAAAAAATAATTTCAATAATACTAATTATAAAAAAAATGTCAGTTAAACATATATCAGTTTATGTTAGTTGATTATTTTATGTAATCATCTAACAAAATAGATAGATATATACAAAAATAATTATTTTGAAAATAGATATATTTTATTGTTTAAAATTATTTTTTTAAGGAAAAAATATTTCTTTTTCTAATAGCAATATTTTTATGTGTGAAATTTATTTTATGAAATCTCATTATATACAGATATTGTTTTTTTTATCTAAGAAGATATAGATATAAAGTATTTTATTACTTCAAAGGTATATTTTATGTTATTAAAATTAATTATTACTATTTTGTGAACTTTCCTTTTTTATTAAACCATATTATATATACTTAAATGTTCGTTTTTAAATAGTTTTGTAAATTTTATAAATGTTTCCTTTTTATTTTATATTGTTATTTGGAAATTTTTAAAAAGGAAATAATATTTAATTGTATTTTTAATTCATTAGGGGTATCATAGTAATCAACCATCGTGAAAGTTAACGTGAGCGCGACACCTAAGAAAGTGACTTCTCAAATAATATTATAGAGATTTATGATAAAAACTTTTTAGGTCTATTTTGATCATTTTCTCTTTTTAAAAAGCAATTTCTTTTAGAAAATAATTAGCGATAAAATTTCTCAACTATTTTACAATCGAAAAAACCTCCAATTTATAAAAATTTTAATGTTTTAACCCTTCAATTTACAAATTTTTAGTGTATGTCACCTTTTATTACAGAATTATAGATAAGACCAATAATCCATGTTATGCTCATTGCGATGCCTCATGCCAGCGTAGTGTGAAAGTAACTCAAGAAAGACAAATAATCTTCACTCTGATCATGGATATATGCCCAAAATATTTTGCTTCGAAATTGTTTATGGATATGGGGTTTATACGGAGATCGTCACAGTGATGCAGGGAGAAGATATCAAATGGTTTTTATTTCGTTTTCATTGTTTTGCTAGAAAAAAATATGCATTTTGATGCCAAAGAAAATAGAAACTAAGCTATCCTCTAAAGACCAAATTGTGGCAACTCTTGTCACAAGGATAAGCACAGTCGATGAGTTTTGCTCCTCCTCTTTCGAAATACCAATCTCCCACAGCTACTGCAATTCCCTGTTTTTTTTTTTTTTTTAAGTACAAAACATAATAAAAGAATTATCAGAATTAGCACCACGAAAATAACATTATTAAATTATTTATTTGCATTATGTAACCAAATGAAATGAAATTCTGCGGTTTGTATTGTGATTCTTGAATCATGACAAATGATAATAGACTAATAAGTTGCTTACCTTGTTCTTAACCGCAGGAGAGTTTTTGGAGTACCATGTGTCATACCTCTCTGTTTGGCAATGAGCAAAACAAGAATTAAGAAAGACTCCATTTTTACGTGGATTTGCGAAACCCTTTACCAAATTCACCATACGATTCCTGAAACCTGTAATACATCATTTCAAAAGCAAGACAGTAAAAAAAAATTAGCTGTAGTTGGTTATTCAAAATCATGAACATTATTAGCTCATGTTCCACCTTGCAGGAATTGGATCTGAGATGTGCTGCACTTGGCGTAGTTAAGTCTACAATCATGCCAACTTCCACTTGGATCTGCAGATTTAGGAGCTAGACTCTCTTGGATCTGCATTGATACAATATATAAAATACATTTTTTGTCTTCTCTAGATAAATATAAAGAAAAGAAAAAGTAAAAAAAAACTAACCTGCCATGAATCATATGCAGCATTTAGAATAAACAACGGAATTTTGATTTGGTTTATCAGATTTTGTGGGAAGAAACACTACAAATATGGAAGCATTTGATGAGTACACTTCTTGATAAAATCTAACTCAATTTTCTTTTTATCATCAAGATAGCTATAAGATGTAAGAATGAGAACAAATACCGAAGTTGGATTGAGACGGTTAACACAGTCTTTAGAGAGCTTTGTTTCCAGATTCTGTTTTGACATTACACAATTCTTGATCAGTATTCTCTTGAGAATAAAACATTGCAAACTTGTGTTTACCTACCTGTAACTTTACCACACCGGCATATAAACGCCTAAGAGATCGACCTCCAGACACATCAATGCTTCAATTACAAAACCAGTCAGATTTAGACACCAAAGTCATTAGTTATGGACTTAAAGAAAACTAGCAAATGACTCACGCGTCTAGAAAAAAGCCAGCATCACTCAGACATTTCACTCTTGTGGAAGAAGAAAACATATTCCCAAAATCGTCACAGCGTAGAATCGCGGCAAGACCTCCAGCAGAACATCCAGAGAGCAGAGCCTAATGTACATTATTGGTTATAACATTTCAAAACAACTAGTCTCATTGCAACACGACATACAAAAAAAACATACCTGCTTGGCTTGACGCATTCCTTTCGCCATCAACTCTTCCATAGCAGCTAACCATATTCTCTTTCCTCTAAACTGAAGTTGTGCAGCCTAATTTGTAGCAAAAATAAATTAATTAATTCTCACAAAAACAGCTCTTAGGTCAAAATGCTTTAGACTAAACTAACCTTATTTTCGCTGTCTCCGCTGAAGGATCCACCGTCACAGTACCTAACTTTTACTCTATTCCAGTTATAAAAGTCTGCATAAGAAGATTTGTATTAGCAACCACACAAGAAGATAAACAGTGATATTAGTAGACATAAACCTGGATTTTCCGCGGCTTTGTCACTTAGAATTCCTGTAAAAGGTATCTGTTTCTCCATATACTTAGACGATCCACGACGAGTTTTTTTACGGTATACACAATTTCTAATGGTATCACACCATCCACCTCCCTATCAAAAACATATACAACAAATATTGTTAATATCTATAGTAGCATAGGGACTATCTTTATGATGCAACAAACCTCCAATTGAACTAGCCAATTCCTAGCTCCTGAACCGGACCCTCGATGAAAATGATATCCAGGAAGACTTCCATCGAGACACACTACAAAAAAAAACACAAAGATAATCGAGTGATATTATGAATCAATATTTGAAAAAGTGTGTAACAAGAAACATTAATATCCAAAGAAGATGGATAGGGTCAAATAACTGAAGATGTTTACCTGCTCCTTTAGAAGCAGCAGATTGAATAAGAGTGAGTCCTACCATTGGAAACTTTGCATCAGAATATACATCACTTTCAGTCTGAAACATCTTTGTTCCATTGAAATCCGTAAACCACTCCATTTCATCAAACTCCATAATCCCATTCACAGGGAGTATTAAGAGAATGAGACCAAACAGAGTCAGACTCCATAGAAGCTTCTTCATTTCAATGGAGACACAAAGGTGTTTCAGACTTATCATACTCTTTGGTTTATATGGAAAAAGTATATAGGAATGACAGTGACTTGAGAGCAATAATTATCATAAGTTTAAAAAAAAAACATAACTGAAAAAACATTAAATTACCAGATTAATGAGATTTAACAGCATAGTTAGTTGAATTTGACAAAAGATTCCAGATCAAGATCTTGCAGAAGTATAATAATATAATTTGGGTTACACATATAGATCAGATCGCAGAATTTTGCAGACCGATTGCAATTATTTCCGAGCTGACCTAAAGTCTATTCCTTTCACACTTACACACAACTTTGCAGCCTTACTTTAAACTAAACCGTTGTTAAAAGATATATTATATAGAAAGCTTAGGTTGAAGGTGGCACATTTTTGTCCTTTATTGGTACACTTGTGAAAAATAGTCGTGCATCTTCCTGTGACAAACAGTTTGTTGAAATAATTTTCTGCTGCATGACCAGACGCATAAAAATATTGAGTGTTACGGTCCCCCACTTCCAAGTTCCAACCAATCATTCCTACTTTTCAGTCTCCAAAATTCTTCTTCATCATTATATGTTTGAGCAAGCTCTTGGCGTATTTTTCTTATTTCACTTGTAGCAGATGATCCAAAAGACATAGCAAAATCCAACTCTTCTTTTAAATAAGCAATACGTACTACCGCATAGAAGAAATGATTCATTTTCCAAGACATCATCGTTTGTCTACACCTCTGCAGTTTTTGTACCAAAGATGTTACTACCGTTTGTATTCCAACCTTGCTTCTCCTCATTACATCGTATTTCATTAAAATCTCCTGCCAAGGTGCATTACAGGTTTCTGCTATCCTTTGCAACCGTTCCCATAGATGGTTTCTCAAAGCAGTTTCCGGGTGTCCATAAACAATAGACAGGAAGTAGGAAACACCATTCATTTCGACATACTTCTTCAAGATTAGGAGATTGAGAAACTACAGAAAAAGAAACATACTTCTTCCACATCACTACAATTCCTCCACTCACACCACGTGGAGAAACTATTACACTTCTATCATATCCTAAGTCACACACCAGATCACGAACATAGTTGTCTTGTTGCTTAGTTTCCAAGAGACAGATTATGTCCGGGAAATAGTTCCTTTGTATTTCCTTAAAGCATCGAATTTTAGGGTCTACCCCTTCATATAAAGCATTTTACAATATCTTTTTCTAAATTTATAACATTAATCAAAAAAATTCTAAAACTCTAACTATGAATATAATCTAGGGCTGGACAAAAATTCCGAATCCGAAAAATCGAACCAAAATCAATCCGAAAAGGTAATCCGAACTAAAATTGGTTAAATATTCGTATGAATTCAAAATTTTGGTATCTAGAGAAGCGAAACCAGAACAATCCAAACTGAAATACTTTAGGTACCCAAATAGATCCGAATCAGATTTTATGTATTTGAATGTATTAGTTATTTTTAGATGTAATATTGAAAAAAATGTATATGATATTTTGAGGTTGTCCAAATATATTTGAAAATATATAAAAATAGTCAAAATAAATATTTGAAGTAGTTATACAATACTCAAAACACCTTCAATACTTTACAAAAAAAATCTATTGATTCTCTATTCAAATAAACCAAATTTTATGCTAAGTTAAGGTATTTTGGCATACATTACTCAAATTTATATGTTATATATCATTTTTTACTTTTTAGGTTTTTGAAATTTAAAATATATATGAATTTTAAAATTTTAAAAATCATTTAAACGAGTTATCCGAACCCGAACTGAACCCAAACCAAAATTTATAAATACCCGAATGAGACTGAAAATCTCTAACCCAAAAATACGAAACCCGAATAGAACTGAACCGAAGTCGAATGGATACCCAAACGCCCACCCATAATATAATCTATATACCAAATATAAAATTTAGAATATGATTATATATATGATAAATATTTATAAAGTAGTAATAATAAACTTTACAATATACAAATTATCATACATAATAATAATTTTATTTGATATATACTTCATTTAGTTATAAAATGAACCATGCATATTACCAAGTATATGCCTCTTTATTTTTTATTTAAATTAAGAATCTTATGTTTATCGATTATTGAATAATTACGATCAATCATATGGGTTAATCTCTTTATTTATTTTTCTCTCTATCTTATCTTCTATCTCTGCTCTTCCTCTGATCTTATCCCCTTTCTGTTACAATTCAATGAACTCATCACTAACGGTTTTTTGTTTAGGATTATCACAAGTACTCTATTTTTTTTTTTGTTATTTCGGGTTAAAATCGATCATAAATGGTTATTTAGGGTAAAACTTCTTGATGTGCCTGATGTGCATGCAAGTACAATGAGTGCTTAGTTATTTTTCGATTCCTTAACTTCATAACCAGATCCACCTAGATTTGGGATGATCCGATTTGAACCTAACTCCAAATTTGAAAATTCTCTGTTCATTCTTCAGATTGCAACACCAAATATTTGGTACCCGAAATGATCTACACCCGAACAGATACATGAATGCACATGGTTAGTGGTTTAGTTTAAATCCACATTAGATAACTAAATATTGATTATCAACACTATTTTCTTAAATTATGACAACACTATTTTCTTAAATTATCAAATATTTAGTTGTAGAAAAATGTATTTTAAATACAATTTATAACAAAATATTTATTGGAAGTTAGAAAGACAAAATTACCTAAATTATTTAATTTTATTTGAAATACAAAATATTTGAGTTACCTAAATTTTATTTGTAAAAATAAGTAAAATATCTAAATTATCAAACACCTGAACTAAATCACAACCAAAATCCATGAATATTTAGGTATTAGATGGTTCCTTTTTTACTGGTAGGAGTAGGAGTAACTAAAAAAATCCAAGCTAACATGATTAAGCATAAATTGTCTGAACAGTAATGTAACGACCCAAAACCCAGTAAAATTATTTCGGCCCGGCTCGGTCCGTATTAATGTTCAGCAGACACGTTTTGAGAGAACAGAGTAACGATTGATCAAAACAAATAATTTCGAAGTCAAATTTTGAGGTTATGTTTTACATTCTTAGATCTACGTATATCAGAAAACGGATCGTCATTTGCAATTTTTATCTAAGAGTTATGATTATTTCTTTCTGACTGATTTCTGCAGATCGGATCTACCAGCAGTCATCTTCATCAGTATTTTCCCGCTGATCCAGAATGAACCAGGAAACGAGCGAGATATCATTGGAAAGATCTCGATGTCAGCTTTTTATATCATCTTTCCGATCGTGAAACAAAGGTACAGTTAGAAAGTTATTGACAGTTCTTCGTGGCGATAATTAAACTGTTGTGTTGCAGAGGCAGTTCCGAGCAGTCTCAGCGTAAAGGCAAAACGGTCAACCTAAACGAAAGCTTTCAGTCTGGAAATTTGTCAGTAAGTAGTTAGTTCTTATATCTATCATCCCCAGCAAGCGGATCATCATTTCAAATTATTTGCTGAGAGTGATGCTTATTTTAGTGAAAGGTGTTGGTGCAGTCTGCGTTTGCGACCAATTTGGAGGCGAGGCTATTTTGAGTAATCAAACGGTGTCTGATCGGTGTAAACTCGGTGGCTATGGACAGAGGACGTCTAGGGCTACATTCTGACCGGAGGGATTGAAAAGGTAACGGTCAGTTCTTGAGTTATTGATATATTATCTCTAGGGTTCAGTTCTGCCAGAATCTTCACATTCATCTATTTTCAGAGACTTCCGAAGTTGCTGTTTTTAGAGCCATCAGGGTCATTCAGTGTTTTCTCAGGTTTTCTTCAGAACCCGTGGCAAAGGTGAGGGTCTAATCCGTAACTCCCGTACCAGTATAGAATTCTTCCTATCGTAGTTTAGATTTCGAAACATGATCCATCTGTTTGAATTGAGTCTGTTTGAGTCTTGATTGCTAGTTAGTTCATTCATTGCAAATTGGAACTAGGGGTCTAGAGGATTCAACCGTTGATTGGATTGTGTGATGTTAAGAGATGGTATATATATATGTACATACATAGTTATGAGTAGGGACTATGTGGGAGGGCGGGGGTTCAGGGATGCCTGGACTATCGACCCAACTTTGGAGGGCGGGGGCTCAGAGACGTCTGGGCTAGCGACGCAACTGTGTGGTGCGCGGTGCAGAGACGTTTGCATTCGACGCAGATTTGGAGGGCGGGGGTACAGAGACATAATGTACTAGCGACGCAGCGTATGATATATATCCATATATGGAGATGCGGGTGTTACATTTTGGTATCAGAGCCAGGTTCCGTCCCGGCTCCGACCCGGGATGGCGATCTGTGAGGACCTAGTTTTATCGGATTTATAAATTGATTTTTAAAAATGATTTTTGGGGAAAATTGGTGATTTTTAAATAAAAACAAGTAGCACCTTTCTGTTAGTATTATTCTTGTTAAGAATGTTAGTAACTGGTTTCAGCAGAAGTTGACCATTTGAATTCTTCCATTTCAGATGCCGCCGAGAAAGAGTGTTGGTCGTCCTCAGACTGCCAGAGTTGTTCGTTCCCAGACTGCCAGGACTGCTCAGGAGGTTGGAGATGAGCAGGTGCCACCTGTAATTCCACAGATTCCGATTCCACCAGTTGATCAGGATGCTTTGAGGCAGATGGTGCAGGATGCAGCTCGACAGGCTGCTCAGCAGGCAGTTCAGCAAGTTGCTCAAGAGGCAGCTAGACAGGCTACTCAGGCAGCTGCTCAGGAGGTTGCTCGACAGTTAGCTGCAGCTCAGCAGGGACCACGTGGACCTCAAGTTCAGGTGCAGAATGGTCCACAGATTCAGGTGCAGCAGGCCGCACCAGTTCAGATTCAGCAGGNTCAGCAGGGACCACGTGGACCTCAAGTTCAGGTGCAGAATGGTCCACAGATTCAGGTGCAGCAGGCCGCACCAGTTCAGATTCAGCAGGATCAGCAGATTCCACCTGTGCCGCCAGTTCAGCAGGTTCCAGGGGTTTTTCAGG